AAATGAATTCATTTTTGTACATGAAGGCGAATCTTGAATTCTTCCTTGGGCATTTCAAGAAATTCCTCCATATCTGAAGCAACATTCATATGTCGTGTGTGTGTGTGTGTGTGTGTGTGTGTGTGTGTGTGTGTGTGTGTGTGTGTTTGTGATATGAATTTAATATCTTTATTTTTAAACAAAACAATCTTTAATCTTACAAAAAGAAAAGAAACCTTAAGATAATCAGCTTTTCAGTTGAAGAAAGACCACAAAGAAAAGCTTTTTTTTCAAACAATTTTTTTATTTTTTGTTACATATTTTAAATTCTTTTATAAACAGAGTGTTGTCCAGTTCCCCCCTTTAACATTTTCACATATACATAATTCATTTTGCATTTTATCTCCATCTCCCATTTTATCCGTATTATTTTCTTCCCATATTTTCTAACTTTTAATTTTTTTTATATACATAAAGCATGTCATTTTTTTATCCCTCCTTTAGAAATAAACCAAATTTATCATTTCATTTCCATCTATTTTCTATAAGTAACATATATCTTCAGGTTCAGTTTTTTATATAATCAACATTTTACTTAATTAATTTGCACAATTGATAATATTAGTATAGTTCACTTACATCTTAATTACATACATTACCATAATTAACATATTTCATTTCATTTTACTAATCCCCTGTTCCTGGTTTCTCTCTTTTTTTCCTTCTCTTTTCCTTCTTTTTATATGTATTATTTCTTTTCTTCTGGATCTTTTCTCTCACTTTTCGATATATATTTTTGGATAACCCTCCCCAGGGTTTTTCTTTTTTGCTTCCCACTATTTTCTCTCTTTATTTTTGGCTAATTGCTTTTTTGGGATACCATTTTCTCAAAGGAAAGTTAGGGGGGGATAAAAAAAATATAAATAATAATTTGTCATAAATCTCTTGGTGTCGGCATTTATGTTTTGTTCTGTCTTCCCTCAGGATTGCTAGAGATAAAAGTCGTAGTTTTATCCTGATCCCTTCCCTTCGTGTTTTTGTTTTGCAGCTATCTAGACTGCTTAGATCGAATTGGAGCTGCCGACTATCAGCCCACAGAGCAAGACATCCTGCGAACCAGGGTCAAAACAACCGGCATTGTAGAAACCCATTTCACATTCAAAAACCTCCATTTCAGGTGAGGAGGGTGCAGGTAGCATGAAAGCATCTCCCTGACTGGACAGATAGTCAGCGTGGGGTGGCTCTCGTCCTTTGCATTTACCAGTGGGCAGGGCTGGGGGTGTTTCTGTTTGGTTTGCACTGCCACAAAATGGCTGCCATGGTAAGTGGGGCTTGACACGGGCTGGTTCAGTTGATCATCACTATTGCTCATCTAAACCCTTCCCTTCCCTCTTCCCTCCTCCCTTCACATCACTTTTTTTCTCTTCCTTTCCTTTTCTTCCCTTCCCTCTTCCTTTCCTTTCCCTTCTCTCTTCCTTTCCCTTCTCTCTTCCTCTTCCTTCTCTCTTCCTCTTCCTTCCCTTCTCTCTTCTCTCTTCCTTTCCTTCCCTTCTCTCTTCCTTTCCTTTCCTTCCCTCTTCCTTTCCTTTCCTGCCGAGGTGGCACAGTGGTTGGGGTGCAGTACTGCAGGCCACTTCAGCTGACTGTCCTCTGCAGTTCAGCAGTTCTAATATCACCTACTCAAGGTTGACTCAGCCTTCCATCCTTCCGAGGTGGGTGAAATGAGGACCCAGACTGTGGGGGCAATATGCTTACTCTGTAAACTGCTTAGAGAGGGCTGAAAGCCCTATGAAGCGGTATATAAGTCTAACTGCTATTGCTATTGCTATTCCCTTTCCTTTCTTTCTCCCTTCTCTCTTCCTTCCCTTCCCTTCTCTCTTCCTTTCCTTTCCCTTTCCTTTCTTTCTCCCTTCCTTCCCTTCCCTTCTCTCTTCCTTCCCTTCCCTTCTCTCTTCTTTGGGGAGGAAAGTTTGCAGAAATTATTGTCCAACACTTTCTACTGAGATAGTATTTTACTTCTCAGTCTACAGCTGAGGAAATCATCCTGTTGGCTTTGGGGCAGTTCTCCTAGCCAGCAGCTTTGTACCAAACACTCTCTCTGTCTTACACCTTGTTACAAAACACTTTGAAATCCTCCTCTAGTTTGGAAAGCCATTTCCTGAATGCTTTATGGAATGAACATTTCATAAGAAATGAAAGTTCAGAATGTTCATAGCTGATCAAGTCAGCCTTAAAATGCTTTGGACCTAGGCTAAAGATGTCATCCTGAAGGTCCAAATTCAATCATGAAGTCTTTGGGGTTTGGTCCCCAAAATGGCCTTTCCATTTGTAATCTAACAATAATCACAATAATTGATCAAATGTACATGCTGCCTGACTCCCAGCAATTCCCAATGTGATCATCCAAACAAAGAGATTGCAATAAAACCAACACAAGAAAAAGGCAAGAGCAACAGAAGGCAACATGATTTATGTAGAATAAGCATATTAATTCTGTGAACATTAATTTTGCTCCCCTTTGCATCCAGTTTTGGTCACTATACTGTAAAAAAAAAACTGTCGAGACTTTAGAAATAGTGCAGAGAAGAGCAACAAAGGGGATTAGGGGATTGGAGGCTAAAACATATCATGAATGGTTGCAGGAATTTGGCATGGATAGTCTAGTGAAGAGAAAGACCAGGGGAGACAGGATAGCAGTCTTCCAATATCTCAGGGGTTGCTACAAAGAAGAGGGAGTCAAGCTATTCTCCAAAGCACTTGAGGGCAGGACAAGAAACAATGGATGGAAACTGATCAAGGAGAGTTTAAACCTAGACATAAGGAGGAATTTTCTGAC